ACTCTAGAAGCACTTCGAGAGGAGTTGGTGGTTGCCTGGAATGAGATACCACAGGAGGACATTGACCACCTGATCAGAAGCATGCCTAGGCGCGTTGGAGAATGCGTAGCACATCAGGGTGCATCCACACATTATTAAAGGTCAAAGGGCTTTAAAGCAGTGAAATCATTTTGAAATTTTTATCATTTACTTATTATGCTTCATTAAGTACTTATACAAAATTTTATTAAAATAAAACCATTTAAACTGGGTGTTCGGATTTATATGTCACTTAGTATAAAAGCATACAGGGTGCTATCGAGCGTCTTTTTCATTTTTTCACTAGACTCTTTTTAAAAAAATCGCGAAGTTCAACAAAAAAAGTAAGCATTTCAACCCAATATAAATCATGCGCAAAACAAAATTTCAAACAGCGCTCCGATAGCACCCTGGACAATTGTCTTCTGTACATACTGTATGAATTTCATTCAAAAATATTGAAAAATGGAGTGTCAGTTTCGAAGCAGCTGAACCCTTGTAAATGGCTTGAAACACTGCGTCGGAGCCGCCTTAACAATGAAGCATAAGAATACGGCACCAAAGAAGAAGAATCTTTAGGAGTATGCTTCTGGGATGTAAGTCATAAATATTCACTCTACAGGGTGTTCCTTAATGATATGCGAATGTTTAAGGGTGTGAATCTACATGAAAAATTAATGTTAGTTTGCTTCATAAACTATGGTCCAAAAATGTTTCCTTACAAAAACTCGGGGTGTTGCAGTTTTAGGAAAAAAATGGAAATTAATTAATATTTTTAGAACCGCTTCAGATATTTCACCGATATTTAGTACGTACTGAAAATTGATAATATTGCATATTTTTCAATGCAAAAATAATTTTTAATGTTAACAGTGGCGTGCGTACGGGTATTGACTTCGATATTTTTTAAGAAAAAAAAGGTTCGCCAATGGTTTTTTGCCAAATAAAAATTATTTTTGTCTAACTTGCAAAATTATTATTAATTTAATTGAAGAAATTAAACACTTTAGGGGTAATGAACAACAACTGACAACATAAACATAACATTAAAACCAACGAAATGATTACAAAAATTGTTGAAAATGGTCTCCTTCACTTAGTATGCATGCTTCCGGCCTCCTTCTCATGGAACTGCGCACTCGTTGAAATATCCCTGGAGTGTTTTTTATTCGATCACAAGCTGCAACTATTCTTCTCTCTACAGTGTTAATGGGACTTGTGTACACTAGTGTTTTAAGATAGCCCCACAAGAAGAAATCTAAACTGTTGAGGTCTGGGGACCTTGGTGGCCATTCTTGGGGCCCACCGCGGCCAATCCAACGATTTGGATAAACAGTTTGTAAATAATTACGAACCGCTACACTGAAATGCGCTGTCCGTCAAGTCGTCCCGGCAAGAAGAATGGGCCAATAAAGTGGTTGCCAATAATTCCTGCCCATACGTTAACAGAAAATTGGTGTTGGAAATGGGTTTCGGTTACGGCATAGGGATTTTCTTCTTGCCACAAATGATTATTGTGGAAATTCTGAATGGCATTTCGAGAAAAAATAGCTTCGTCCGTGAACAGAATCATTGATTGAAATTGCGGATTTTGTGGAATTTTTTTAAGATACCACTGACAAAAGGTCAAACCTTGGAAAATGAATGGGAAGTAATGCTTGTACCCTTAAAATATGGTAAGAATATAACAAAGAATTCAATAAAATTCTCTAAACAATTTGATGGCAAATATTTAAGTGTCTAGCGATCTTCCTCGTACTCGTTTCAGGATGTTCTTCGACTTCGTGCAGCACTGCTTCCTCAATTTCAGGTGTTCTCACACTTAGAGGTCTACCTTCAGATGTTCCTTTTCGGACAGAACCAGTTTCAACAAGACGACGATGAATATTAGAAAAGGTTCGACTATCTGGCAAAGCACGATCGGGATATTTCTGGTGATAAATCCGTCTGGCTTGCTCACCATTACCGTCCGCAAGGCCGTATACAATGCATTTCCGCCATTTCTGCATTTGAATAATTCACCATTATTAACAAGATTGTAAAAACTAAATAATGAAAAAGATGTCACAGCGAACAGATTTGAATAACAGAGACTTGTTAAATGTCAAAAGCCAGTGACATATTCCAGAGCAATTAGATAGATTTTATTGCTAAATTGCATTCTCCAATTATTACATTAATTTTCTCGGACAATAGAACGGTTTTTATTTTCTTACTCAAAAATGGTGCATCGAAACAATTCAAGAGAGATCATTTGTTTGAAATTGAACGGGGAATTAAGAAATAATTTTTATTTGACAAAAAACCATTGGCCTTACCATTTTTTTCTTAAAAAATATCGAAGTCAATACCCGTACGCACGCCACTGTTAAAGCTAAAAATTATTTTTGCGTTGAAAAATATGCAACTTTACTAACTTTCACTACGTACTACATATATATCAGTGAAATACCTGAAGCGGTTCTGAAAATATTAATTAATTCCCATTTTTTTTCCTAAAACTTCAACACCCCGAGTTTTTGTAAGGAATCATTTTTGGACAATAGTTCATAAAGCAAACTAACATTAATTTTTCATGTTGATTTACACCCTTAGATATTCGCATATCATCAAGGAACACCCTGTATAATAATTATGTCCAGGATTACACGGCACTCTCTCCACATTTACGGTGAACGAGCATCGATTTTCCTTCCGCAGCAGGAGTAATTAATAAATCCGGGCACCTTTTTCAAGGTTGTTTTTCCAATGTCAAACGCAGATCATTCTGGAGAATCATTTCACGTGGAAATGAAACGGGCTGATGTTAGTTAATAACTTGTTGGGATGTAAATTTTCCATGCAGGAGCTTTTTCGGGCTTCCATTGCGTAATCAATTTTGAATTTCAAAAGACCCTCAACCTTATGACGAATGGCTTTTCGTTACCTTTTACTTGAAGAAAAGTGACAAATTGAAATGGGGTAAGAATGTCCTTTTTTGGTCTATCTGAATGTACAAAAACGTATAAAAAAATTACATTTTATTTTAACTGTAATGTTCCATATTTTATTACATATTTCAAGAAGAAGATTGTTATAACATGCTACAGCGTCATGATGATTGGCTGCCATATTATACACGATTCAATGTACAAAAACGCACAACTTCGACAGCCTATCGTTCCGCCATTTTATATTCTAGAATTATAAAGTGCTTCAAAATGAGGTGTCAAGTGACATTACATTCCATTTAAAAAATTCCTCCAAGATAGCGCCCATCCGTCATGTTGAAATTTTCGTCTCTGTCACTTTTTCACTAAAATTTAATATCTATGTATTAAACTCAGCTTGTTTATTTCACCTGTGCAAAAAAAGTAAGGGAATGTATAAAATGTTCTGAGATTTTATTAACAAAATTTTCATTCAACCTTGAAGTTATTACGTTCCAATGAAACTTAGGGCCGATTTCACAAAGATTTAAATTTGACGGAGACTTCCACCAATAAGGGAGCAGCTATTGAAATGCAATTTGACGGAAGCTGTCAAAGGTCTCCTAATATCGCTAATTTCTATTGCAATATTGAATAAAATCGTGAAAAATCGGTTGCTTTATAAATAAGGGTGCACTACAGATGTAATATTATGCCTTTGAGCTTTAGAATTAGGATAATTTTCATAGAATTTACAATTTCTATCATTTCACAAAAGACGGTCTGTTATTTAAATGGACCAATGTAAATGCGAGAAATAATAGGTCGATTTTCTAGCTATTATATTAGATAGGATGTTTTCACTATTTTTGACGACTGTCCATGCATGTCAATCTAGTTTTGTCTCTATATCACGTACATAATACGTACCTGTAGGCACGTAACGATTTTTTTTATTTTGCAAAAAAAAGGATATAAAACATATTCCAACTGTTTGTAACATCAACAATTTTTTTTGCCAGTTTATGATCTAGAAATCAACACCAAATGTAAACAAATAGCACATTCTGCATTTCTGGGTCCTAAATCATCGATATTTGTAAATGTATCCGGATCCACCTATTATTAATAAAATATATCTCCAAACCTTGTTATATTTTCTTGTTATTTCTATTTTTAGAACACGTCTGGGATATCAATTGCTTTTGAAGTGATCTGCAGTGTTTCCGAACCGGCAAAAAAAACGGAATCGGTAAATAGTATCGTTGAATTCCGTATGAGGAAAAATGCAGCCACAAGATCAGTGGCGTATCAAGGACCTTTGAGTCACGCAGCGCCGTCTATCAAAAACGTTTACTATTGTACTGAGCGCACACACATGTTTTTTGAGGGCACAATTCTATATTACAACTTGTACAATGTGAATACTGGTCGCTCTTTCAAAGTACTTTGCAACCATTCTGGAAACTCCTTTTTCGATTCTTGCTTATAGGATTGTGAATATTTTTCTGTTTTACCCCTGAACTCATGAACTCACCTCACATTTTAATTAAACATTTATTTTTAGGTTTCCTTATTGCTTGTCCGGTGATGCGGTAATGACGGTAATCTACCAGTCTTTACCCTTTGTACGCACAAAAATCGCATATCAATTGAAATAATATAAACATGAATAAACAATCGACAGTATCAAAGAAAACATGAATTTTATTAAAAAAAATCAAGCACTTTTTTAGATTTTGACTGAATTATATATAATTCCTTAATATTCAATAATCTGGTGATATTTCAATGACAAGCTGTCAATCTCATTCGCTGTATTTGATGGACTGTAACCCTATTGGTGGAGAATAACGGACTGCGATTTGACAATCCTGGTAAATTCCACCCTGATTGAAGCATTCAACAAGTTCCTGGTCTATTGGCATGCAGTAGCACTGGCGTTGAATCCGGCCCTGTCACGCGTTAGACAGCTGTGTGAGCGGCAAGGTAAATTGAAAAACCTCACTTTCCACTCCATCCTACGCACAGTCAGAATCAAAACAAATGAAAGTAATAATAAGGTGTACTCACCATAGGTGATGTCGTGTGTCACAGTCTCATCCAACGACACTATGACAGTCTGCGTCATCGAGCGCACCGACGGTGACACTGCAACCGGTGATGATTTACTGTGACTGATGGGAACCGGCGTTTTGGAAAAGTCTCCAGCTCCGCTACTGCCTTGATGCTCCATTTTTTGACTTCCAAAGCACACTTTGACTGTCAGCGATGGTTGTCACTGGGATAACAATTGACGGTGGTCGGTGTCCATGTCCGCACGTGTGAAATAATCGCGATAAATCGTAGTAGGCTGGACGGACGGTGCAGTGTCGGTGCCGTGCCCCTGGCCGCTAAGCAAGGCGCTGCTCTGGCGTTACGACGCTTATCTCGTTCCACCTCTCTAGACCAGCTATCTCGCCGATTCGCGCGGCGCGAGTACGGACACGAGCCCGCACAACAGGGCCTGATTACAATTTTTCCTAATCTCTTAAATTTCCATTCGACAGATTGGTTTTAAGGCTCCCCAGTACCCAGCGCGACCTTGAGTACTCAAGTCTAGGAACAGACACTAAGGACCCCAATAAAGGAACATGAGCAGAAGTAGGATTGGTAACCTGAACGACGTATCTTTCTGCTTATTGGCTTCATTAGGCCCACGAAGTCTTCTGACCCAAGCCATAAATGTGCCTGCTGGCTCTTGTTGGTTGCCTCTAGTTATATTTCCTTTGCCATTCTTGTTTTCCTCCGGGTCATACCCGTACCAGATGTGGTGGGCATTTCGGTATTTTCGATGCACATCCAGCTGGGCCTGGTGAAGCCAATGATCAGAAACGTACATCGCTCGGGATACCAATCCTTTTATTTCTGCCCCTTTATTGTGGACATGCTCACGATTCTCCTTTGTTTTTCATGTTTCCGCAAGACTGCTTGTCTTTTTTTGTCACATGTCAGGACGCGATCTAAATCGTCGTCGTTTGGTGGCTAGATTGAAAAATGGTATATTTTCACAACCAGTGTACCGATTTTAACTTTTTAAATCTCATTTTACTCTTTTTATTTAAGGCAAACATATAATTTCACATTTTTTTAATAATCCAACAGTTACTCAGATATGCCAAAGTACTACATTTTTGTCAATTTGTGCAGTTATTCAAATAATACGACTATAAAATGGAAAATGGTTCATTTTTGGTAGGCTAATTTCGAACGTTCCAAAATAATCCTCTCACAAATGCAGAAGACATTAATCGTTAATCTTACCACATAATTGAAATAATATCGCAATTTCTCAAAATCTAGAATAGCATAATCTTACGAGGTCACGCGATCCAAATCGTGGACGTTTGGCCGTCATACTTCAAAATGGCCAAATGGCCGCCAAGTTGTACAACGATTATTCAACATAAAGTTCGCGTGAATTCATTTCACTAACTTCTAGAATAAAATTTGAAGCACACGCACACGTAACCCTACTGCAGTGCCTCCTAGCTTTATAGTCAGCTTTTCTATCGTCGAAAGATTTGGAATGCTCAGTTCAATTTTGTGGTAATACAAAATGCAGTACTTTTACCTGTTTTAGCTCACCAAAATCAGTTTACATGAAATGTTATTTAAATGCCTTCTGAAAAGTAATATCTAGTAGGTATATGTTAATAATTGTTGGACCAATAATAAAATATACTTTTACAAAACCTGTTTGTATTTAAGAAAGGAGTAAAATGAGATTGAGAAAATTAAAGTCAGTCTACTGAAGATATGTTGAACAACTGTTGTACAACTTGTCGGTTGTTTTTAAATATGACGGCCGATTTAACACAAAAAATTTCGTGTAAAGTAATCGTTTACGTAGCCCATGTGTATGATAACTGTATTCTTACACTACGATGTAAATTTACGTTCAGTATTGTAAAAGTATATTAGGGAACTATTTACATGACATAGAATGCGATTTGACACACATTTTGGCAATGTTCAAGTTAGAGGTATTAAGAATAACTTCTGTTTTCATAAAGCTATAAATCACACTATTCGCGGGTAATTTCTTTAAGTCTATGAAAACATTATTTATTGCTTTTTGAGCCCTATGCGTGAGATTAACTTGATATATAAAATAGTTGTCAGTTTAAGATTTCCTAACCTCAATACCTTGCGAATCCCGCATTGAAGCATGTTTTGTTTCGAGTGGGTGTCAACTCGTGTTTATTGCTTAAAACCATTGTCAGACAAATTCTAAACTTTATATTGTTCCTACTTCCATGTTTTTTCTCAACATCTCTCCACAAACTATATTCTCACATCTTCCCTATTACTTATTTGTAAACGTAGGTATTATTCAATATATTGATTCGAAGATGAATTTGTTAAACCGTACTAGCTCTTAAAGCCTAATTACCTGATTTAGTAAATTGAAATCCAGGTTGTTTTCGCTAATGACGTCCCTGGCATCGTTTTAATATTGCAGGTTATACAATACCTATTACAATGAGCGAATAAAAGCAGATATGAAATCCTTATCACAAGTGGAATACTCCAAATTCGTAAGATTCAATATAAATGACTGAACATTATTTTCATAGACTGTTTTATGGAAGTTTTGACTAGTTCTGATAAAGAAATCATGTGCAATACCTTCCTGCTTACAAGATTGTTACAAATAAGATACGCTGGATAAGTTTCCGTGTTGTTGAAGATTCTAGAGTTACGTCATATAGTCATAGTCCTTTCTTGTTACAAGCCAAGTAAATCCAGACCTGTTGCGCCCTATATCCTTGTCATGTATCTATTACTACATTTATGCCAAGTCCAGGAAGCTGGTAGGAAAATCTTTACGTATTAGTCCCAGCCGATTTATCGCAGTATGCTCATAAACAAGCTCATATCGACCAGGTACGTGTTACGATGTACAGAGTGGTTCAAAATGGATGAGGAAAACCTCAGCAGAGACTGATTCCTAACTTAAACTTATTGCCGAGTTGAGCCAAGCTCATGCCCTCTAGGCTCAGTGACATATTTGCCATTGTTTTTAAAAAGCAGGAATGGTTTCCATTTTAAAATATTAGAAGCTATTGGTTTTTTATCGGGCATATTTATTTAACCACAACGCCGCACTTTTTCTGACACCTGATTACTATTCAACGTTTTGCGTCTCTATGGAAAATTAATCTTTTTCGCGTAGTTATGATTGAAACTTCCTTTCTAATCCGTACGCCACCGGTGTACCGTAATCGCGAAAATTTTGAAAAGCGATATGTTTTTTGGATGTCATATGACACATATAGGTGTATATCATATATCACAAAAACATCCTTTCCATCAATCTGTCTGTCAGTCAGTCTGCGATTCTCAACCCGTCTATATACATGGTGTCCGCAGAGTTGGGGTTTTCCTTTTCACATACAACTACTGTGTACGTGATCGAGGGATAGGACAGGACCGGCTTCGGTTTGGTTCAGGTTTGATTGAGTTTGCGGAGCCCAATGTCTCGGTTCTTTTAAGACATTGGTGTATATACTACTAAGAAAATCCACTTAAACCCCAACTTTGCGGACACCCTGTACTGCTCGGAAATTGATGAAATATTCACACATGGTTGCTATTGTTCCAAGGACGAAAAAGCTTTGTAGCCTTTCATCATATTATCTTTAATTTTTTTTTTATCCTCAAATTATTTATAATGATGAATAAAGACCATTTATTATTATTATTATTATTATTATTATTATTATTATTATTATTATTATTATTATTATTATTTGAAAAACGAAAATTAAAGTCGATCAAACATCGTTTTTTGACGTTTCAGAGGCACCTGATTATTTTACAGAAAATTTCTTGTAGAGGTTTAAATTCTTTAGTAGGATGTTGTAGCGATTGAGGGCACTTCTAAATTTTTTTGTTACTTTATTTATTATATATTCCTACCAGAAAAGAATGAAGAATGATGTGTGAAATTTGTCCAATAGGTTAAAAAATAATTTTTTGGTGTTTATTTTTTTTGTTCTTTTCCCCCAGCTCCGCCGTCACTGGACCGCTTTTCCATTCTTGGTATACTACTAAACTTGTGTGAAAATTTCATCAAAATCCGAGGGGTACTTTCCAAATTATAGATCGGCCAAAGATTAGCGGACAGACAAACCGATAAACAGACCAACGGAAATGAGTAACATGGTACTTCGTGATATAGTCATATAACATCCAATAAACATAAAAATATCTCATTTTAGAATTTTTTTGCTTTTACTACTTCCTCGCGGGGGCGTAGGAAATAAAGGTTAATTAAGAACAGCGGTAGAGGTCGATTCTCGTCAGGTTTCTTCTATTTTCATTGCGTTTGACACGTGTATTGGAAAATATTTCTCATTCAAAGTCTTGTACAGGGAAATCTATGTGTTGAATATGCCTAACAGGTATATAGATTTATACAGTCTGGGAACGTATAAATAGACTAACCTAAAACATTGAGATATATCCTCCCTCACTTGCGTCGTCGAGATTCAAGAATGACCAAGACCAGTCCGGAGACCCTTTCTGCCATCTAGACTACTTCCATGGAGGTTCACGACTCTGTCTGGAAAACGCTGGAATGTTTCTCGACTCGACATTATGGGAATAAATACCCGACCAGATGACGGAACAGTTAGACATAGTTATACATTTGTTTTAAATCAGTTGCAGCTGTTATAAATTAGTGTAGCAGTAATAAATTAGACTTTGAATAGTAAAACGGTGTTTTTCTTACAATTATATTTTATTTTGAGAATTTCTCACACTTACAACACTTCCTCGCCAAATGCCGTTGGAAGTAAACCTATCTGTTTAGAGGTAAAACTTCCTCATCTTGTTTCTCTCTAAATAATTTTGTACATCGCGGTTTTAGAAGCATGGACCGACCTATACGATAATTCATCCCACCTGTAGTTGTAGATGGAGCCAGCGTATATCAATAATCTCACTTATCTAAGAATAGCTAGATATGTGGCATTGAAAACATAACCAGTCAAGTTCGCCAGACCGATCGACCAACTGTGAGAGCGCCGGATGTATAATCTATGGGGACCAGTCAATAAATATTTAAATATGTGAAACGTTATGATAGTCTATTTCCATGGATGGTGATGTAGAGGCTTAGTGTACAGATAGTCTAGCAATTCACCTACATTTTCTTTGATGGTTTATCTGCGCACAGGCTCAACTAAATCTGATGTTTGATTTCCGTTTCTGTGACCATAACCAACTGCATACACCGTTGTTTCATGCTTGTTTGCAATCATGAGTACTTTACGGCGTTGGAGGTAGACAACGGAAAGCAAACAAACGGCTAAGATCTACTGAAAAATCCAGTACCTATGTAGTAGGGGACGACGTAACTACTATCACTTTCAGATAGTTCGCCAAAGCTTGATACATCTGCGGCCTCTATCTAGGAAATACAGAAACATACTACGCGTCTGGCCAATCGTAAATGAATGGATGGATGTTGTCCACCATAATTAAAAATATCAGTTTTAATACTAAGTTTTGCAAGGGCGTCATAAGCGGTGTAATATGCAAAAATTGCATAGTACGCCAGTAGAAAAACCTGTAAATGACGTTGTATATGGTCGGTTATAGACATAGAACCCAGCCCAACTGTGAGGGCGCCGGATGTATGATCTATGGTCTATGGGGACCAGTCAATAAGTATGAAACGACAAAATAAACTACTTCCATGGATGATGTAGAAACGTGTACTGATAGTCTAGCGATTCACCCTCATTTTCTTTGATGACTTGTCCGATGTGCCAACACACTTACTGTGTGGACAGGCTGAACTGAATCCGAAAGCCCCTACTGGTTTGACCAACAATAAATGATAGTTCTATGAACGGATAGATGTCGCCAATTGTCATGAAAAGGCCGACCCGTCAATCAGCTGGAATACTATAATACTATAATAATATTGTCAAGGCTATTAACAGTGATACAATATGCAAAAGTTGCATAGCACGCTAGTAGTAAAAACATGAAACGACGTTGTATACGGTTGGTTATGGTCACACAAACTTCATATACCGGCTGAATGACGGGTTTCTTTTCTATGAAGATGGGCAACATGTATCCGCTCATAAAGCGAAAATGTTGTTTTTGCCAGACGCGTAGATGCCTTTTGCATTTTCCACGTAGGGGCCGCAAATGTATCAATCTTTGGCGAACTATTTGTGGGTTACAAATTATCGCTTCTTTGCATACTTACTATGAACTGACAGTAGACGCAGTACGCTAAGTATCACACGATCACTATTTATACACCTTGATTCATCAGTTCTTACTATGAAGTGTGATATTTATTGACCGTGTAGCCTGGACTCCAGTAATTAGGTTATAAAGGTTACTTAGAAATCTACTAACGCTGACGGAATCGTCAGTAAATACTGATATTGTTAATGCTTTTGTTTTTATTTTTGTTCTGTGGTTTTTTCTATGTCTTTGTGTATCTTCTTGGTCAGTATTCCTAATACTTATATATATCAAGAATCCGTAGAAGTTAAAAGTGCATAAATACTGATATGGCAAAATCTAATCGTGTGACATTTACCTAAGCAATGACCAACCGCACCAACGTTGGTTTGCAAATTTACGCTTCTCTTCGATGTACCTTTAAATATTTCCCACATCATTTTTTATGTACCTAGCAACAGAGGTGATAAATAAACACTATCCGTCATTGTACCGAGACGATCGACCGAAGGATTTTTCCATTGCGGATTGCCATATACATCCACCCAAATTTGAATTACCCTATATGACCACATTCACCATTATTTCATTTTTTGGGTGATGCGCCTAACCATATACATGAATACAGTTGTTCTTTCACTATATCTACCTATACCTGAAATTGATTTCATAGTCAGAAATTAGTTTGATTTCAAGGATTTAAAATGATGTGCACCTGTTTCGACCATTTATGTAGATCCTAAAATATTGCAAGGGTTGACGTTATCCGAAATTTGTGAATCATCAATCATCCTCAGCCTCCTTGATTGCGCCTAGAAATAATCGGCACGGGTATTATGTAAAAAAACTATAAAACGTCAAAAAAAAAATTAAATTTCATTTCGCAGACTAGGTGGTTTGTAGGGTCCATTCCATGTTTGCTCGTTATGACCGCTGTGAGCGTCCATCTATGGAGGAATGCCTCAACTACACGCGTTGTTGGTTGCATATGTCTTGTGAAGCCGAGTAATCTGCAGTTTCCATCTCTGTGAAGATGTGAAAGAATAGCAAGGTCGCATCTTGTGTATTGGTCCGCATGTATATAAAATCAGTGATATTTGCTGTGTGAGAAAATTATTACTGGATATGCTGCCAATTAAGCAAATCTTTTGTACCCGATGGGTTATTTATATGTTGTCCTTTCTGATGACAGGTTATGTTCAAAGTTACAAATTACGATTTTTCCTGTTTTATGTCTTTTCAAAAACTATCAGAAATCGCCACCGCGCCCCCGTTATTTAATAATGATGTATCACACACCAAATATTTTAGCACTACCTCACATCTAGGCGCTGATTTGAATTTTCTATTGCATCGCAAAATAAATTTCTATAAAATTTAAATGACTGGAAATAAAAAATAATGTAGTAACTTTTTCACTTTCATAAATATTCATGTCTGTGGCATATTTTCTAACCTGTTACTTCAGGAATTTTCAGGAATTTTCTTTTTGTATCTCTCTCATTTTTGAAATCCAGCAAATTTGCATATGTAATTTCCGGAAAGAATAAGAAAAAGTGGATGCCAACTAATTTCTAGCTTTGAATCTCAAGTAAGTGTGTTTGAGTCGAGAATCCAATGGAGTTGTCATCAACATAATATTATTAGCACGCAAATCCTCAGTATGCACCTATGCATTGCCGTTTCCTTCTAGCTATAGTATACAACTTACAGCTTAGACCGCCACTAATGCCATCTCTGAAGAAGAATTTACATTTATAACTGGAACATCATGACGTCTAGGCAACACGTACAACCTCAAAACTAGTTCACAAGTGTCCATCAGTTAGTGCTAAGCCAACATCTTGTAGAAAAACCTCCATAATGTAAAAAAAATCGGCATAATGGCTCGTTATACGTAATATCCGTGCCGGCCCTTGCTTTATGCTTTATCTGACAAAAGCCGCACCATGTTGGAATTTAAAAAACTTACAATTTTCTACCTAAAATGTTTGGCCTCTTACTAGTGAAAGTACAATTTGTTAGTAAAGACGAATGTTCCTTGAATGTCGGCTAAAAATCTAAACTGTTATTTCCTAGACTATTTATCGCATTATCAATATTTTGTAGGCAAATGCATCGAGTTTCTGAAAACATTGGCATACTCTGTAAGAAAAAGCCACATTACCTAACTAGGGGCCACTAGGTTGCCTTAGAACTTGTTGTCTAGCCCCGGTATCCGTCACTTCCGCATAACCGAAACCGTTCACCCACGCACACGGTCAAACATGATTAAAATGGATACATCGGATAAATTACGAGTAGTAGCAGCTTTTCGGTATTTCACACACCATCTATATGAACCAGCAAACCAAAATCCAAAATCGGTTCGACCACAGCACGTACTGCATGCGATTTCTTGTTAAACTGAGGTGTAACCTGCGTGAACACTGTACCAAATGACCGCGTGTTTTATAGATGTAAATAAAATCGTTTTTGGAAACAGTTGTGTGGGCAGACAAGGTTTGCATCTATGTGGGCATGTACGTAAAAACGATCTTGGTGCATTTATGCGTATCTCAGGAAGGACTGGTCTGCAACGAGATGAAGTTCTTATCTCCTACGCGTATAGATGGGAACGTGAACAGATGATTCAGCGTTATACACAAAATCGTCTATTTACGATTTTTACTACAACAAACTATTCTGAAAACTAACCCGCAGGGCTATTACGTAAAAACCTATAAAACGACATAATGTCACCTTTGAAGATACGTAATACCCCTGCAAAAGCTTCGGATAGACAGTAAGATGCTGTCAGCTGTCAGGTCAAACTGTGCGGTGCCTAGATTATTGCTGAGGCGACAGCAAAAATTAGGTACGTTACGCTGGGTAGAATTTCCGTCACTATCACTGTGACAGAGTCAAACAATAATTTTGAAATGGTAGGCCACGCAATAACAATCGTCTGTGGTATATTTTTGGGCTGTTTTCGGAAGAAATTGGTATTTAGTATTTGATGTATCATATAATTGATTTTGGAAGGCAGATTTCTTTGAGAGAACAACCATTCATATCTTACTTGCCCGCTTTGGAGAAAAATAGTCATTAGATAAGTGATGACATCAAGATCAAAGGAATGAGCAGTAGCTGTGACACCTCTATACGTAATCTGTGCTGAGAGACTGACAATCCTTGGGCTTTATAGGTTTTTTTTCGTCAAGGAGATTAATACGGGGTCATAGGAACCAGTTAAGTGACTATGGAATTGGCGATACGGTTCTTGAAGTTTTTAAAAATGTTCACTTCAGAGAGTTAGTTCATGAAATGAGGAAGTACAATAACTGAGAAGTGAACGTAGTTCTCTTAGCTTTCAGATAGATGGGTTGCGATGAGATCATGCGTCAGGGAGCATTCTCTTCTACTGGGCCCAGGAATTAGGGTCCTGAGGATAACATTTTCAACATGTTCAATTTGGACACCCAATCAAGGAGAGATATCGACAATAGGTCCCATCCGGGATTTTCCAATTTGTCCTAGCTTAGAGGGTATCCGGGGGCCATCCAGAGAGAACGTTGGAGATTAACCAACATTCTGGTGGTGACGATCAAATCATATGACAATATCTGAAGGCACAGTGTCTGGTTCCCGTATTACATGAGTAACGGTTCCTTAAGATTGGATCTTCATCTCCGTTAGCTTCCTTATCTACTGCATACACTAGCCGTTCTTCTGGAGAAGCGTGAATATAAGCTTGTTCGATTTGGCCATATCCTCTGTTTAGAACTCACTATGAGTTGTTCTAGTTCTTTCCTGGCATCCCGATGTTGTTTTTTGTAATCAGAGCATTATCTCTCGATGCATTTACTCTATGGTGCTTTCTATTCACTCTTGTTATTCGACGTTTTCTTTTTCGTGCTGTTGCATTGTTCCAAAAATACTTTGCTTCCCTCACTTCACCGTTCTTGTAGACCACACTGAAGGTGCTGGCAAGACTATACCCTCCAATAGTTGGACTTTGTCCCTGTAATCATCAAATTTTGTGTTCCATAGATTTCGGCAGAATTCTTTCAACTTGGCACCAATTTTCCGCCTGCAGATCTTGTGCGTCTGTCGTCTATCATGTTTGCTAAGTGTTATTCCAAAGATAATGTACTTATGATCGCTTATATTTTTGTTGTCAAGTACGCTCCAGTTTTTGATTGTACCCACTAGGTTCTCTCTATGGAAAGTGATGTCGATATAGCTATGTCTCTATCAATTGCAATGACCATGCTTCTTGCTGCGAGAATTTCTTCTAGGAGCTCTCTTTTATTGTTAGGTAGCCAGGTTGTCGACCTGTAATTGAAATCTCCCCCCACCAAGTAGTGCTTGCTACTGTAGTCATTACATTCATTTTTTAAGGAAATCTTAAATCTGGCATGAAATCTTGTTAGATTCATGTTTGATATAAATATTGTTCTAAGCTATACTGAGTGACAAAAAAAGGTAAACACCTACATATGCTTATTAGAACTCAAAAATGTTTTACATATCGATTTATCTTGCCATGAATAACAAGTGATAAAATGGTCAGCTTTTTCTGTTAAGTTTTTGTAGTGTCTGCATGTATTGTTTGGCTCTGAGAGACAGATTCAGTAGTACTCGAGCCATAGCTAATCAATGGTTTGAAGAGCATGGTAGGATGGTAGGTATGCGTACGGTATATCACCGAATACGACAGTTTGGCCTTTTTTGTTATCGCCCACATTGGGTGCTACCTTTCACAGAACATCGGCGTACCCGTTTGCTCTGGTGCAGAGAAATAATTCTGTGGGACCGGGAATGAAATCAGGTAATATTTAGTGGCGAATGCCGCTTCTGCCTGGGGATGCACAATTTGACACGTTCATCACACCGTGGGAGCTATGATCGCCTGACCTATCTCCAATTGAACATGTCTGGGACATGATAGATCAAAGGCTCTTGAATTTGGAACACCCTCCACAGACTTTAGCACCTCTTACTCACGAAGTTGAAGTAGCCTGGAATGAGATACCCCGACTGGATATCGACCACCCTATCAGCACGATGCCCAGGCATGTCAATGAGTTTATTAGAAATCGTGGATCATCAACACATTACTGAACTAGCTTCTGCAGTCAGTTGACGAATCAAGCTGAAAATTTAGTCATTTTACTAGTAAGGGATACTGCACATTTATGCCAAAAAGTATCAAAATCTGATAAACATACATAGGTGTTAACCTCTTTTTGCCACTCAGTATATTTCATTCTCACGATGGTCGATTCTGATAATAGATGCCACTTTGTGCCTACTATTTTGTAATATCGAATGATAAATCTTCAGCTTTATAAGTCTAGTAATAAAATCTAGCATGCGTATATAAATGCCTCCGTAATTCGCAACTTCTAAGCCATTTTAACTTCAGGATATTCAAGTCGAGCTGCTCTACGATATCCCATTGACCTAATAAAACTTTGAAGGATACCGACGCTATGAAGGTTCTTTTTCCGAGGACGCATATTCACTGTAGAAAATAGAAGTGAGGTTATCTGTTGATCACCTGAGATAAGGAAAAAGCTTAATATTTGCGGGGAAACACTCAGTTATGGAATTTCTATTGAATTGTACATTGTTTGAAATAGGAAGATAAGGTGAAAAGTTATCGGTCTGACACATACATGCCTGCGATTGAAAATTGAATGCTCGGCAATTTAATAACAAAAAATAAACCTTGAAATTCATATTCCACGTGCCACAGCTGAAACGGCTTGATGGATTTTGACGTACGAGGTATCTCTAGATTTTTCTTGACAGCGCGAGTGACGTTGGGTAGTGAGGTTTTATGAAATCAACATGGCGGATTTTAATCGAAAATTTCAACTTTGAAGTTCCTATTCCACGGGCTTCAGCTTAAGAGGCTTAGTGGTTTTTGATATGTGATAATAATAATAATAAATGTTTTTTATTGCCAAGATGAGCACACAAAAAAATACATAGAACTTCTAGCTCCTTTCCTGACAAACGGCAGAATTCGGCTCTTACTACCGTATAGAAAGATCCGCTCTTCCATTCAACCGAAAAAAATACAATAATTGCTCACCTAGACCTTACCGTGATCCAAGAAACTTGACACAAAAAGAGTTAAAGGAAAACAAATGAAAAACTGTTCTGTACACAGAAAAACGAGTTGAATTTTGTATGCTTCATATTGTGCAGTCATCAGCCAATAGAAAACGCTTCATTGTTTTTTTAAATAAATTCATACTCCGGTATGCAATCGGTACCTTATTATACAGCCGTGCGACATTGCAAGAAAAAGAATGTTTGAAAAACGATGTACGAAATCTAGGAGTAGAAACTAAATGTCTGTAACTCAGACTGAGTGTGTGGATGTTTCTTCTGCAACGAATTTTGTTATACAGATAAGCAGGAGTTTGTTTGGTGATTATCTTATGAAACATACAAATGGCATGCAGGATCCCTCGGTTTTTTATTCGTAACAGTTGTAGGCTAGAGAAGTGTTGAGAAACATGATCTCGCCTCCTAGCTCCCGTGATAAAACGCACGCTTTAATTTTGAAGTTTTTGCAATCATTCTTGTAGCATGAGACAACACTAAAGCCTCTACCAGAATTTTCTTCGACAGCGGCGAGAGGATACATCTACTATTATATAGGATTTTAAGATTACAATATCCTTTTTTTAACACAGATGTGACATGCTCCAAGAACCTGAGAGAATGTGATGTGTTTCTAATTTTTTCTGAACAGTGCCAGCGATAGATATTAAAATTTTACATCAAAATGGTCCATTTTAAAGAAAAAAATTTAACTTTGAAATTCGTACGTCTTTTAAGTTTTGCATATGGAAATAGAGCAACACGGTAGGTAGTTTTAAATGACTTCATTATTTTTCGAAGTATTCTCCACGAAGAAATCGTTGGGACTTAGTTTGGGACTATATGGAGGATGGTCCAATAATTCCACGTTTTCTTCCGTTAAATACTACCTTGTTTTTTGGGCTGGGTGCGAGCTTGCATTGTCTTGGTGGAGGATGATTCTTCTTTCGGGGTTGATTTTTCGAAACTCGGTGATGACTTTTGGCAAACAAATCCGCAGTAACAGTTATTTGTTCGTTAAGAGGAATTGTTGCAATATGACTTCGAAACACTTCGAGAATGGATGACTTTTGTTGGCTTTTCTCCACCTTGGAACACCCAAACAGCCAACTTTCGTTTATTTTCTGGTTCATAACAGTAAATCCACGATTCATCACCACTAACAATGCTGTACACATTTTTTGAGTTTCCGGAACTGAAACGGTCAAGCGTTTTTTGACACCAATTAACCCTGGCTGCTTTCTGCTCTTCAGTCAACAGGTGTGGTTATCCAACGAGAAACTAATTTTCTTACTCCTAATTCTTCATGTAAAATTTTTTGATTTGAGG